TGAGGGAGTGCCATGGAAAATTTGGTGACGTAAGCTCTTACAGGGACTGAATCAATAAAGAACAGACAAACTTTCTTCTTTATATATATAGATTTGAAAAAATAGAATAAAAAACAATAAAATTCTTCCTGACTATAATATGTAAACATAGTTGCAATCATAAATCTATAAATCAGACCAAATATTATCTGGTTCTTCACTATTGTCTATACTTTCAATGATATTCAAACAATAATCATGATCATCATTTATTTTATACGCATTGTTTCTTCCATCAGAAGCTATTGACGTGAGATGAGAACCCATTGTAATTTTATTCCTACGGCTGCGGTATCTGACTGTTTAAACAAAATATAGACAATGCTATCCGTGGAACAAGAAAAAACAAATCAAACGTATAATATATCCTCAAGCAACAATCAGATTCATATTAGAAAATTGAACAAACGAAGAAAACTGTTTAGACAAAATATAAATAACTCGACAGAATAAAAACCTCGAAAAATGTTCGATTATCCTATTAAATAAAAAGTTAATGTCGATAGATTTTCACTATCAGTTTGATTTTTTTTTCTGATAATCGAATCATTTTCTTGTTATATATGTCGTATGAAGCACATACTCATCATGATCAATACAGAATATCTCTATACTTATTATAATAAATACTAGTCAATTCTACTCAATAAAAGTAAAGAAATTTTTTTTTATAAACGTTTATTTAGATAAAGTTTGTAAAATTTGCATAGGCATATTGTTTAATATGTTGTCCTATTCAATATAGTATACTTTAGAAAAAAAGACCAAAAAATTTAATAATAATATAATTAGAAATCTAATTAATTATATCGATATAATATTATATTGTAAGATTTAAAATTTATTGAATTTAGTATATGACTCTGATTTATATTCTGAATAATCTAAAAATATTTTAATGAAAGATCAAACGATACATACAGAATAGGAAAGCCAATATAAAATTGTAGCCCAACTTGCAGCTCCAGTTGATATCTTAAATTTGTCATATTTAAGATAAGTAAAAAAGAATTTCGAAAATGTTTGATCATTTCCTCCAATAAAAAATGCATAACAAACAAATACTATTGAAAGTGTTAAACCATATTGAAAAAATCCGCGACCGCATGTACGAGGAGAATATGGAGAATATTTATCTGTATCTATTAAATTATTTGAATTTATTGGATTCGTACTTACAGATGAATAATCAACCTAAATTAACATTAAAAAAATTTCCTTTTTTTAATTTTTATTATTATTTTATTATAACCTGTTGAATTTCTAATCTTCGTTTTTGATTTTTTTGTTCTTCAATATAGAAATATATATGTCCAATAGCAAGTAAAAGACATAACACAGCAGTTATTGAATAAGGAGCAATAATAGATGAATTAGTTAATGTTGAATTAACAGATGATAATGTTGAATTTACTTCGGTGTTATTTTTAGAATTAATCGATAAAGATGATTGACTAAGAAACGGACGAACAAGTAAATTAACAATAATGGCACCAACTCCATATCCTAAATGAGCCGTATTTAATGGAGCCGCTGCATTTTTACCCCACATTGTTAATAATATATTTGTTCCACCTATATAGAAAGCAATTTTTACACTTATTAAAAAATATATTTTATATAAATTAGGATTTTGGTTTTTTTTTTTTGTTAATTTCGATTACATTCAAATTAATATTGTGTCTCTAATTGGGCTCAGATTTACCTAAAGACACAGTTCGATTTAAGAATATGTTGCCAACTCTCCTCTCTTTTCGAAATTTCTCAACAATGAATGAACAGAAAATTTTGAAATTTTTCGACCATGATGACTAGAGAAAAATTCTTCATAGAATCAAAGTTCTATGTGATCTACTATTTTTCACAATAGCGATAAATGAGCCCAATATTTGCCGCATCCGTATTTTTCAAAATGTTACATTCAATCGAACTGAAAATTTTTTTTAGAGATGCCAGATTCTTTTTGAGTTGGGCGCTTTTCTTCAGTTTATTTGTATTTTTTCTCCTTGGACTAAAAAAGCAAAAATATAGAAAGTATCCTTAAAAAAGAATGCGTTTTTAAATAAAGTTGTGTTTTTTTTTCAAGACCGACCGAAAATCAGAAGAACAATAGTTTTTGAAACAAAAAAATATTCATCTCAAACAGTGTCTATTGTATACGTAAAAGAATTTCAGTTCGATCAAAATTCCTAAGACGGAGACATGGGCGGCGTTTCGGTACTTTTTTTTTCATGATAAAATTACTTTGAGAAAAACGCAAAACAATCGAAAGTTTTCTCTATTATAATAGGCATAACCTGAAACTATATAACATATAAAAAATGAAAAATAAAAACAAAAGTTTTGAGTAAGAAAAAGAGGGAGATATTCTTTACGAAAAAAACCAATATTATATTGCTTGAATTAAATCTAATTAATAAATTAAAATAAAATAAGAAAATAAATTTGAATATGTTGAAAAATTTTCAAATTTCGTTCTATAATATTCAAACATATAAACAAACCTAAATCTGTAAGACCTTGAGCAGCACCTTGAAAAAAAAATAAAATACACATAAGTAGCAATGATGTCACAAATGATGTAGCAAAAACGGCTAAAAAAAAAAGAAATTTTTATTGTTTTTTTAATAAATGAATATATTACCAATAGCAGGTAAAATAAATGCACAAACAAGAAGACCCTCGGAATGTTGTTTGACAATATTTGGCAGAAAAGCACCAAAAATATTCGCTATTAAATAACCTGCAGCTCGTGATGCAAGTGCTGAACCCATACCACTATAATCAACTTGAACATTTGATGCTAGAATTGGCATTGTTGGACCAACCAATTCAAGATGAATACCCTTTTTTTTATTTTTTAAATAAAATAAATATATTAATTATCTCTTAAAAGATACGCCTATCAGACTAACGAGGGAACCATCCGAGATGTCAAAAAGCTTTTCGGTCGAGGATATGATGGTTAGATAGGCCATAGCTAGGAGTGATATACCCTAAGTTAGTTCGGGCCCAAGTTGAGATATCGACCTTTAACTAGAATTTGCGTATGGAATCCCATCTTCTCCATAAAATCAGAGTTTTGAATTTTGAGGTAAGACTTTGCCCACATCAAGGTCTCAACCAGAATAGTTCATACACAAAGTTTCAGAATTTTTGGACTAAATCATTCTCGAGATATAATGTTTTCAAAATATCCATGCATACAGCAATATCCGTAAAAAACTGTGTTTATGCTAACAGACTCATATCTCGAGAATGTTTAGTCCAAAAATTCTGAAACTTTGTGTATGAACTATTCTGGCTGAGACCTTGATATGGGCAAAGTCTCACCCCAAAATTCAAAACTCTGATTTTATGGAGAAGATGGGGTCCCATACGCAAATTCTAGTTAAAGGTCGATATCTCAGCCAGATCTCAACTTGGGCCCAAACTAACTTAGGGTATATCACTCCTAGCTATGGCCTATCCAACCATCATATCCTCGACCGAAAAGCTTTTTGACACCTCGGGTGGTTCCCTCGTTAGTCCAGTTGCGAAAAGTCCTAACTTTAACAGTTGATGTTTGATATTGCTTTTGACCAAGACTATCAGAAACGATAGATGCTAGGATAGTTGGATATAAAGACTTTTGAAGTGAGTACAAATTTATACATGAATTTCATTTAAAATATTTGAATTCCTTTGTCAGTGGATTGGATATATATTCAAAAACATCTGCCTGTGATGTGATGAAAGTAATCTTAATTTTGTAGTGGACTGTTAATGATCGATTTATTCAAACAACTGTACATTTTATAATAAAAAAGGATTTTTCACTGAACCTGTGGCACAGGAGAAGAAACGATTTTTTAAAGGGTGTATAAGTGTTTAGTATAATGCGTGAATAGTTATGTTTTGATCGGCAGCCTACTGTCTGCATATTGACGGTAGTGCAAACAAATGTACAACATGGGTAATTACCTGAATTTGATAATCATATATAAGACAAATACAATTTTATGCATCAAAAATTGTCCTTCCATGTAAATCAAAAAATCTAGAAGGGGTACCTCCAAAGAATTTTTCATATAGAATATTTCTTAATGTAATACAACTAATGTTTGGTAAATGACACGATTTTCTATTCGGTATCTTCTTTTTTTCTGAAAAATTTTAATGATTTCTGTCATGATCTGTCTGCAAAATATATTGCTTTCATAATTAGAACGCCATTTTATCACAGTTTTCTATACGTTGAACTTTTCATCCTTTGTCTTCGCTTAAAAAGTAAGAACTTACGGCAAAAAATTTAACTTATTTAAAATGGATTTGTTAATTACATCTGAAAATAACACTAGAAGAAATAGCTTCTCAGCTGGTATTAACATTGTACTCTTGTGCTTCATAGAGTACGTTAGTACACCGTTCTCTCATGATCATGATATGTGCTTTTTTTGCATTACAAAATATCAGCATGAAAATAGGATATTGATTTAGGATGAACGAAAAACTTCATTTGAAAAGTCATAGAGTTAAAGATATCATATGTTTTTGGATTCTAGTTCTGCACATGTCTAATCCTGACATGCTCTTTTAAATAAAAGAAAAAAGATTAAGGACATGGAATGAAGGTCCACAGAGAATTTCAAGGTGCCAAATGAGCAATTTCTGACTCTTGTTTGTTGAATATCTCCTGAAAACATCATGATATACGGTTGAACATTTAACCATATTCTGAAAATGTCATCAAATTTAATATATCTAGCTCGAAATATTTATTTACGAGATGATGGTCTCAAAATATTAAATAGCACATACCTTCTAGTGACATCTTTTCATTGGCTAATAATTCTAATATTAAAATTTTTTTAATAATTCATTAATATTTTAAATAAAATATTTCTCAAATTATCTTTAAAAACAAATTTTGTCTTAAAATCAATAGTGTATTTTTAACTTTAAAACTCTCTCAAGACGTACAAGAGAGTCCAATGGCAATCAATTGTTTGTTATTTATTCTATTTAGATTATAAAAAATTTTTCTATATTTAATATCAATCATTTATCGAAATTCTTTTAGATATATTAGCCAATCTAACACACGAGCATTCTTTCTAATACAATGTCTCGACGTGTTCGTACAACAACAACATCTGGTATATCTTCAATATCATCATCTAAATCAAAGAAAATTTCCATTCCCATTCGAAAATTAACTCATAATGTTATACAAAAGAAAACATCAGTTAAAAAATCTTCATCAACAAAACGTTATCTCGACCAATCATCGTCAACAATAATACAACCAAGACAAAAACGTCTTTCAAGTTTAACAGCAACAGCACTTCTTCAATATTGTACAAGTATTCTTTCACCATCAAGAAAATTAAATCGTTCAATAAAATCAACTTCTACTCTATCGAATAATTCAAAAACAAATAAAGTAAATATTTAATGCAAAAAAATTCAAAATCATTTTTTTTAAAAAAAAAATTCTTTTTCTAGACAAAACAATTATCAATAGAAAATAAACATATTCCACGAAAACGTCAAATTTCAAATGTTTCCTCGAAATCTGATATTAAACTTACACAAACGGATACTCACATGCCTATTCGTATGCGTCGTGAAGCAAGTTCACGTGCATCAGCTATGATTATGCAACAAAATGAAATCGAACGTAGTCGTTATAATTATTCTCTAATTAATAAAAATTCAACATCAATTATTCGTCGACATCGTACAAATAAAGTTGATATTCCATCTAAACAACCTTCTATTCAATTAAATTCAAGTAATATCCCATCACATCCTATTCCTACATCTATAATCGATATACCAATTCAAATTGAATATTCTCAATCATCAAATAATTCTCTACAACCTTTATCATCAACTAATTTAAAATATCCATTATTAACGGAAGCTATTTTAGCTGAACATAATCGTTTATATGAAACAATACCTATATATCATACAACAAAACGTGATAATCTTATTAAATGGACACAAGAAATAGATTTACATGAACGTTTATCACCACCACTACCATATTCTGAACATGAAATACCCATTGAATCATCAAATCATTATAATTCAATAAATAACAAATCTACAGGTTTAATATCATATTTTATAAATAGAAAAATCTATATTTTCTTTTTAAGTATCATTAATTCCTGATTCAAAAATAATTGATTCTATGACTTTGAATACATCAACACATTCATTGGAACATTTATCAACAAGAAATAATATTAATAATAATCCTAATTTTCTTTTTTCATCAGCTGCATATTCTCTTGATTTACATTCATTTTATCCTATTTTACCATGTTGGCAATATTCAAGTAAGCTATATGAATAATTTATATCTTATTTATTTATTTATTTGTTTGTTCAATGTTTTGATATTTTCTATATGCGTATTTATTTGTTAAATTTTTCTTGTATTATAAAAGAACAAGTTGAGTTTTTAACTAATGATCCCATATATATATAGAAAGAAAATGAACATGGAAATATCAATCAATTATACTGTCCGTTTTCCATTACCATGTTATTCGATTATTGTAGATAGAAAAGAATACTTTAACTGTGACTGAAAAACCAGCTATTGGTATGTAAGAACTTCGAATAAATCTGCACATACAGTCACATATTTATTCTTTACGCTTTCTTTTATTTCCCTTTTTTTTCTTTTCCGTACTATTTATTGCACTATTAAATATATGATTTTAAAGAGAAACTTAATGATTTATCTTCTTATGCTTAATTATATTTAAATATTTCATTTTCATTTGTTTTTGTTTTTTGTTTTATCATATTTAGCTTGGCCATATCATTCATCAACATCGTTACACCATCAAATCCAATCATCATCATCATTAATAAATCAGAAAACATCTGTCATACATTCTGAAAATAGACTAAAACAATTATCAATATTTGATTCAAAAGAAAAACAAGAAGAATTATTGTTATCAAAAAACGATAGATTAACATTTCATTTACATACACATCATCATCATCATATACATAATAATACAAATTCATCATCACAAAAATCATCTAGTTTGATTAATAAAAAGCAATATCAAGAAATAGAAACGATTTTAAACTCAAATAATAATAATAATAATCTTATTGAAAAAGAATCTCAACATATATCATCAACAATTGAAAATAATATATTAAATCTTTCAATAAATAAAGAAACAATAAAAAAAACGACGCGAAGAAAATCTTCTCCAATCAAAAGACATATTAATAGTGGAACAAAATCGAATAGGTAAGAATAGAAAAATTTCTTGATTTTAAAAACAACATGAATTGATTCGACATTTGCTAATTTTTTTCACAAAAGTTTAGGATAAGAATGCTTTCATTAGATCGATAGGAACATTTTTGATTGAATTGTTGAGATTAAAGGCACCACATATTTCGATGCTTAAACGAAACAATATTATACATATAATACTGAACGTTTCATTTTCTTTCAAAAATGAAGATTTAAGGCTTTTTGTATCTATCTGATGATTTAACGTTTTCTTTGGAACCGTCGAACTCTACACATCACACAGTTTCCTTTGAAAATGTTTTTTCATGTTTTTCCTCTTCAATTGTTTTTGTTGAACACTGAGATTTAAGATTTTGTATGAAAAAAAGATATATCTTTAACATAATGACAATAAACTATGAGAAAAAATAATTTGAACATCATTTATTCTTTTTCTTTATTTATTTAGTTCATCTAGTTCATCAATATGTGACAATATTCCACAAATAAATAATTCTATGATAACAATACCGGAAAAAATAATAAATAATAATCCATCAAGAATTATTTTATCACCATCGAATAATCTCAATTTAAATGATAATTCATCTATTGGAAATAAAAAAACTTCTGAATGTATTATTTCTAAACGTCGAACTATTTCATCAACTACGGCAAATTCTATTACAAATATATCAATAGCAGATGAAAAACGTACACATTCAGTATCAAATATTTCTTTACGATCAAAATCATCAATAAACAAAAAACGATCATATTCACCAACATTATCATTATCAAATAAAAATTCTGTTCAAAGAAAAAAACAAAAAATTTCAAATTATTGGATTCTATTTGGAAAATCCGAACAAAAACTTGTTTCAATTCATGTAAGTTATTATTCTTATATTTTCAAATTTTCATTTTTTTTTAAATTTAAGTCTGATAAACCACCAGTCATTCGCGAATGTTATTCATCAATTCAACATATAACAGAAAAAGATATAATTAATTCTAATGATTGTGTTATACTACGTCCTGAAACTGATACAGAGAATAATGATATACCATATGTAGCTAAAGTTAAATGGTTTTGGAAAGAACCAACATCAGGTAAACGAATTTTTTTTATAAATTATTATTATTATTATTATTATTTTCTTAATTGAAATTTTCTATTTTTAGATGAAATTCAAATGTCACTTATTTGGTATTATCATCCTGAACATACGGAATTACCAGCACGTGCTAAACAACGTTTTTTACAAAATGAACTTTTAGCTTCAAGATATTCCGATTGTATTAATGTAGCTTGTATTGAAGATAAATGTTATGTACTTAATTTAAATGAATATAGTCGGTAAGGATTTTTCTTGATAAATGATCAAGTTCTATAGATTGGATCTATTGAGTATGTCCGTCCTATTCGGAACATAAGTCTGAATACATGATTGTGTGTTTGATTCGAATCCGAAAGATTTTGGCCTTTGATACTTGGTATGAAAAATCATAGCCAAGCAGAATTCAAGCTTTTCCTGCTATAGAAGAATTCATTTAGTTAATTAATTTCTCGTAAATTTGGAACTTTATTTGCATATTTTTGAGCTGAGAAAATGTAAAAAAGGTTAAGATCAATATTATTTATGACTTTTAAAAATCCGTTCCGAAATCCTATGAAAAAATTTTAATTAAAAATTACGAAAATAAATGAAATACAATAAAAAAAAATTCCTTGGAAATAAGAGAAGATTCAGTGTCGAACATTTCATCTTGAGAAATTTCGCTTTTTTGAGCCAGTCATTTTCATTCTCAAGTTTCCTTGTTTTTTTTTTTTTCTTATACAGTTATTGTCTTCGTGAAAAATCGACAAATCTCTTTGAACATTCTGAACCAGTCGGACAATTAAAGTTACTATTAAATAGAAATACTCCGACTGTTTATCATCGATTATTACCGGCCACAACTGTCGGTAATCAAAATATATTTTTTTGTCGCCATGTATATGATTATCGAGTTAAACGAATTTTAAAAAATCCAAGTTTAAATAATTTAAATTCTTATCCAATGACAACAACAATTTCTTCAACTACAACATTGAGCATGTGAATCTCATTTATTTTTTGTTTTATGTTTATCGTTATTTGAGTTTAACTAATATTGTCAATACAATTATGACATTTGAATCGTTTTCCTAATTTTCTGATTTCAACAGAAATGAAATAATAGATATCATTGTTTATTTACTATACAATAAAATATATTTGGCTAAAGTATGTGTGATATTCTCAAACTTCGTTTTTTGTTTCTGTCACTTATCATTGTTGGTATTCTTGTTGTTGTTTTTTTTTATTGTGCTATTATTGCTTCTTTCGGTTAAACTTGATCTTTAATGCTCATAGCAATGATTATTGTTAACATTTCTGTTGTACATTTTACTTGTTTTCTTTTTTTTTTTTTTACAAACAATAACAAATGATTTGAATGTATGTATATTTAATATATATTTTTGTTTGTTTGTTTGTAAGTTGTTTCTATCATTTCTCTCTCTCTCGTGTATATTTATATTTTAAAAAAGTATAAGAATGTTTTAATCTTAAAGTTTGTTTTTGTTTTAATGTAAATTTTGTTATTTCTAGATATATAATAAGAAACAACCATGTCAGCCAAAAGAGGTCGTGGTGGTGTCGGAGGTGGTAAATTTCGTATTTCACTCGGTTTACCAGTCGGTGCAGTAATCAATTGTGCGGATAATACAGGTGCAAAAAATTTATTCGTTATTTCAGTTAAAGGTTTTGGTTCACGACTCAATCGTTTACCAGCTGCTTGTGTTGGTGATATGATTATTTGTAAGTTTAACAATTGAATATATATATTTTTTAATATGTATGAGAAAATTTTCATATGATTAAAATGAGATAAAAATTGTTTGGTAGTTTGAAACTTAAATGACTGACTATTGTCTAATTGGTGATAGTGCCACATGGGATATTTAGAGGAATTTTTAATGTATAAAATCGTTTTTAATAGTGTTAGTCTATATATTGTATTCTATGGAAACGTTTCTACGTGCATCGAAAAGGCCGGCTTATAACTCTTTAAATTAGAAATTCTGTAAGTGATATTCGGAAAGAATATAAAATTCTGATATTAAACTAATGGTTTCCAATTTCTATGCGTTCCTTTAACACACTGAAGAATAAACGAATATTTTGTCAAATCACTTTTCGATAACCTGATAGAATGAGGTATTGGCAAAAACAAAAAATTGAACAGAGGATTTTATGATGTAAAACTTTGTCCATAATATTACATTTCTAGAAGATTAAGTAAAATGATGAGTATCTATTTCAAACATGGTTAATTTGTTTTTGTTGCATACGCTGAAATATATAATAATTCCTATTTTATTTTTCTTTAGCAACTATAAAGAAAGGCAAACCTGATTTACGTAAAAAGGTTATGCCCGCCGTCGTCATCCGACAACGTAAACCATTTCGCCGAAAGGATGGTACATTTATCTATTTTGAAGATAATGCTGGCGTTATTGTCAATAACAAAGGTGAAATGAAAGGTTCAGCTATAACAGGACCCGTGGCTAAAGAATGTGCTGATTTATGGCCACGTATCGCTGCCAATGCTCAATCTGTGGCTTGAAAAACCAAACAAATATTACCATCATATCGACAACAAAAAATAAAGAAAAAACAATTTCATATTGTTTGTTTGTTATTTTGATTAATAAGATCCTATCGAAATATACAAGCATGTTTTGTGAAGAAAAAGAAACCTTTTTTTTTTTGTTTTTTAATTTTATTCCAGTGTCAAAATAGAAAAATGCTCGAGAAAGAGATATATATATATATATCTCCAAGTGAAGATAAAGTTGAATGAGAATTGTTTTTTAGATTTATTGGTTAATTCATTCTTAAAAAAATATTATTTTCTTTTTTATTTGAATTTTGATCGATCGAGATGGATGCGGTTTGATAGAAAATGTTATATGTTTTAAACATTCATTTATTTCATTTGAATTTATTCGATCAGGAATATATATATATATATAGAAGGTGATTTGATATTTGTTTGCTTGGCTTATAATATATTGGTACTTGGCATAGATGTTGTTTTTGCGTTTGACATGAAAACAAGCTTGAGACGTTTTCATAAATGATGAATTTTTCTATTGAACATACTCATAAAGTTGATAAAACTTAATATATAATTTCATTTATTTTATGTTGAATATCTAAACAATGATAACTATTCTTATTAACTTTCAACATTGCTTATTTTTCAATTATAAGTTTCTTTTGAGTATGCATTTAGGAAAAAAAAATGAAATTCATTCAATGATTTCCCTTCTCTGTTACTGATGACAAGTAAACAGACATAGATTATTTTGGATATTTATGAACAATTTAAATCCTTAAATCAGAGTGCATGTCAATGTTGTTATATTTTTAGATTTTATAAATGACATCATTTATTGATAGCCTTGCAGCTAATGAAAAAACAGCAGTGATTATTGATATTGGACATGCATATACAAAGTGAGTAGATTAGATATTCATTTGAAAGCTTTTAAATATAGACTTAATTTGTTGATAACAATTCAATCTATAATAAATTAGGACACTTTTGTGTTATTTCTGTGTGCAAACCATCACTAATCAATCCAATATACAGTGTAAGTGATTGTGACCTGAAAAATTTGAGATCGAAGCGTGTATTAATATAAAGAAACTGAAATTTTCGAGTGGGTCTCTGAAGATTTCTGACCAGATCTTTGGACAATCGCTTCTTCGGTCAAGCAAGCTCGATTGAATGTTTTTTTTTGAATGCTCCGCTCTACAGAGCCATGCACTACAACCTTCAGAAGGCACGCTTCTTGATTCTATTGAGCTCTGATTCGCATGAATATAGGTTTTTGAGCCATGGTTAGGCTCACGGTGTTGTTTATTGTCTTGTACGAATGAATAAAAAAAGCGCCTATAGAAAAAGATTAGTGAACTAGGTAACTTTTGATTCCATGAGTCTATCAATTAAATGTTCACAATTCAGTTAGATCTTATCTGATAGAACTCAAACTCCCGAGACAGAGTTGGGAGATGTTTCATTTTTTACCATTTCGTAGAAGAGAATAGATCTTGCGACGAGACTCATTGTAGCTGAAAATCTGTATCCATGTGATGCTTCGCAAAAATTGCGGTGCGTGAAGTCCACTGCCGGAAAAGATCTGCAGATTACATGATTTTGTATGGCGAGTCCTAGTCTAAAAGATACATGAACTTAGATGAAATATTCACTAGTTCTTTCTCAATCGGAGAATCGGTTGTCTAAAGATTCGGTCAGAAATCTCCAGAGACTCACTCGAAAACTTTAACTTCTTTATAAAACTATACTTCTCGATCTTTCTATTCTGTAGAAGAGTTCTACGGAATTAAGTCAATTTAATTAGAAAAATTGATTGACGAACTTGTACAATGTTTATAAAGAAAAATAAATATCGACCAGTACAATCAATTCTTTTTTCCTATATGACATTATTATTTAACATCAAGTTCTTAATAATGAATTGATAGTTAATATTTAATTTAGATGTGGCTTTGCTGGTAATTCTGCACCACGTCATATCATTCCGACTAGGGTTACAATAAATGGCAATGTATTTATTATATTATTCAATTCGTAGAACTAGTTTTCTTTATTTAGACACAACATGTTTTTGATGATAATTCAGATCTAACTAGTTTACGTGATCGTTTCACTGAATTCATTCGTTTAATTTATTATAAGTATGTTAATTTTTAAATATTAGATAGAAAATTACGTTTAAATCATTTAGATACAATATAGCAAATTGTCGAGAACGACGTGTTGTAATTATCGAATCAGTAATTACACCTACACGTTTTCGGCATTTACTAGCTGATATTTTATTAAAACAATTTGAAGTCTGTTTAAATAATTTATTATTAATATTGTTATCAACATTTTATTTTTTGTTTGTTTTAGGCATCATCTTTAGCATTTGTTCCATCACATCTAGGTGCTACATATACATTAGGTCGAAGCACAGCACTCGTTCTTGATATTGGTTATAAAGAAGCTCAAATTATGCCTGTAGCCGAAGGTTTACCATTAGCAGTTCAATTTGATAGTTTACCATATGCTGGTCAAGCTATTCATAAGTAAGAATTAAAAATTGTGATAACAGTTCAATTTTTGTCTGATTTGTTTTAGACAAATCGAATTATTACTTAGACAACATGCTTTAGTTATTCATCAAGGACAAAAACAATCATTTATTGAAGCGAATCTCAAACTTTCAGAAGATATTCTCGAAGATATTAAAGGTTTGATTATCTAATCATTGAACAAAACAAAAAGAATTTTTGAAATATTTATTTTAGTTCGTTGTTGTTTTATCTCACCTTTTACTCGAGCACAAACCTATGCTAAGAATCAATTAGGTGCAAATGAATCATTTAATGAAGCTTCACCAATTGATTTTCCATTAGGTCCAGAAACAATAATTCATATTCCGGGCATAATTAGGTATGCTAATTTTTATTTCTAATAGAATATAAATATTCGAATATATACAGAGAATTCGCCTGTGAAGTTCTATTTGAACAAGATATCGATGGAAAATCTATTGCAACATTAATACTTGATAGTCTACTTCAAGTATGAAGGATAAAATTGTATTTATTATGAAAATAACTTTTTTTCTTTTTTCTTTTTTTATGATAGTCTTCACTTGATCTTCGTCGACAATTTGCTGATAATATTCTCATTATTGGTGGTACAGCAATGATGCCTGGATTTTTGCATCGACTCAATGCTGAATTAAATTATCTTGTGAATATTTCAACATATGTAAATAAATTAGCAACAAAACAATTTCATTTTCATTCTCCACCAGCTCATTTAAATTATACTGCTTGGTTGGGAGGTCAGTTTTTTTTCTCTTATTGAATTAATTTTCTTTATTTTATTTTTCTCTATTTTTTTAGGTTCGATCATTGGTGCTCTCGATACACTTGAATCTCAATCAATTATACGTGAAAAATATTTAGAGAATGGAATTGTACCTGATTGGT